GACCGAAGCCAGACTCACGGGTGTATCAAGACATAAGGAATGACCCTGTACCTGAGTTTTTATATTATTAAATATTTTAAGCTGACTTTCATTGAATTATTTCTAATTAAATTCCTAGGTCGTATACGCCGTTGAAAAATATACGTCCATAGTACGTACATTGTATGTCCATAGTACGTACATTGTACGTACTTTCGATCAGTTTACATCCAGTTTTGGTCCGGAACAAAACATAAAATGTACGTACCTGGAATGTACGTACATGCGACCTACATAGTACGTACTTTACCACATCCCAGGGACGTACCGGGGACGTACATTTTCCAACGCTTTGTACGTCCCATAACTTACTAATTTTATTTAAATACATAACATACTAATACGTACATAGTCCGTACCGTAGCTGTATGGGCAGAAATCTGCCTAAGGCTTAACCCGATCTTGTCGTGTTAAGCCACACGTGCTTTGATTAAGGCTTGATTAAGGTTTGCAGAGCTTCAGCATTTGCCATCAAATAGCGAGCAATTTGTTACAAAACCATATAAATTATACCGGGTGCGTCTCAAAAGTGGCTCACCCCTATTACTTTTTTATTTTTTTTTCAGTTAAAAAACGATATTTGGTGTGTTAGTATATGACATAAATTAGGATTGAGGTATTCAATTGTTTTCGGTCACTTCCTGTTTCACCGTAAACGACTAGAAGTTTTGATTTTTAAATGGCACCCTAGGTATTTTTTTACTTCATTCTATAGAAAATAACACTCTGAATAGAATGACATATTATATGTCAACTTTTGACATTTTTACATATGGTTATTTATTTGAAACTATAACATGCGGTTCGTAGCGAAAATTTGACACGAAATACCAAGTGTTTGGTATTAAATTATTCGTAAAAATGCTTTTTCCAAATATGATAATGAGCCACCTTCGATCCATTTGAAAAAATTGAGATATGATTAAAAATACGATTTGGGCATCTTTTAACCGGCCGGGACAAGACATTAAAAACCGAGCTAAAAACATTAGAATTAGGTTTTAACATAGCCATGGCTCTCTAGATTGAAATTTAAAATACTATTTTTTATTAAGCGAGAATGTCAAAAGTTGACATAGGATATGTCATATTCTATTTAGAATATCATTTTTTATCGAATAAAATAAAAAAATACCGAGGGTGCCATTTAAAAATCAAAAGTTGTAGTCATTTCCGGTGAAACAGAAAGTGACCAAAAACAGTTAAACACGTCAATCAATCCCAATTTATGTCATATACTAACATACCAAATCTCGTTTTTTTATCTGAATTTATTTATCGTATGGCTCATATACATGCAAGAAAACCAGACACTTAAACATAGACATAAAATAAACTACAATGTAAATGAAAACATTACAATGTAAATATAAAAAAAAACAAGTATAATATAAAAAGACAACATAAAAAACGTATTTACGAACACTATATATTAACATCTAGATGCCCGATCCATTCCAAAGCTGATGGAGAAGCCTCCAGAAAGTCCCTCCAGTCTTCACCATAAGCGCGTAGGTTGCACTCTCTAGTTATGTGATGGATGGTTTGGTGAGGGGATCCGCAATCACATTCTGGGGAAGGTATTTTTCCCCACTTATAAAGGGAATCCGCACATCTTCCATGGCCAGAGCGTATCCTATTCAAAGTTGACCATGTTTTCCGGTTTAGATGGGTACCCGCTGTCTGGCAATAGTTATGTTTGAACCAGGAATATAGGTGCGCATCGACCATTTCTCTCCATAACTGAAGCCACTGTTCTCGAGAATTGTAATTACTGCTTTTTAGTTGTTCAGCTGTTCGCAAAGGTGGATTCCTCGACTTAAGTCTATTCACCTGTAAAGCAGGAAGTGTTTTATGAACAGGTAGCGTTGGGGTAGCTATTATTTTATCAAATTCTCTAAGAAGAGCCCCGTTTCTGCGTAGATTTGGAGGTAGGATGTTACTCAGAACTGGAAGCCAGTAACTAGGGGTGCATCTGATTGTCCCTGTAATCAGCCGCATGGTGTTGTTCAGTTGTCTGTCTACGAGATTTGTGTGGTGGCTATTCAACCACAGGGGTGCACAATACTCTGCCACACTGAATACCAGACCAAGGGCGGAGATCCGAAGTATTGTTGCTTTTGCACCCCACGAAGTACCACAAAGTTTTTGTATAATGTTGTTTCGTGTTCTGATTTTCCCAGCAACATTTTCTAGGTGTTTTCTTCGAAATGAGAGTGTACGGTCTAGAGTAATCCCCAGATATTTTGGATATTTGTTATTACTCAGAGTGGTGCTACCAAACTGGACGCTTATTTCAGTATTCGCCAGCTTGTTATTAAGATGGAAGGTAGCCACTTCTGTCTTATTTGCATTGGGTTGAAGTCTCCATTTTATAAAATAGGCATTCAAGGATGCGAGATCCTTTGTAAGCGTTTCTTGGGTTTGATATAGCGATTCATATTCCGTTGCTATGGCTATATCGTCTCGTAAAACAAAATTTTCTAGATTGCGTATCTGGTAGGTCAGAGATATATAAGTTGAATAAGAGAGGGGCGAGAACGGAGCCTTGGGGTAAGCCGTTGTTAAGTTTTTTAGGTTTACTCGTGCTCTCTCCCTGAAATACTTGGATATATCGGTTACTTAGGATGTTGTTGATAACTCGAGCTATAGTTTGACAAGGAAGTGCTTTAAGTAATTAATAAACCATACCATCTCTCCAGACTGTGTCGTAAGCGGCTGTTAAATCGACAAAAGCTATGGAGGTTTTAAGCTTAAGTTGGAAATTTTCTTCAATGTGAAATGTAAGTGCTAGGACTTGGTCACAGCAACTGCGTTTAGGAATGAAACCTGCCTGTTCAACTGGAATATGGTCTAAGATACTATCCTTTATTCTATTGAAAATAAGTCGTTCTAGGAGCTTATAGGTACAACTAAGAAGGGCTATGGGTCGATAATTCTGAGGTTGATCTTTAGATTTTCCTGGTTTTAACACAGCTATTATTTTAGTTTTCTTTAATTCCTTTGGAATGTTGCCGGTTGATAAAATTCTCGAGAAGAAACTACAAAGCCACTTGAGGGCAGGGTTTCCAGCGTAAATAAGGAATTCTGGATGAATGTTGTCATATCCAGGAGCTTTGTTCGGCTTGATGTCTTTAATAGCTGTGACTATAGCTTCAATTTCGAAGGGCTGTGAATATTCCGAGATATGGGGAGTGGTTGTTCTTAACTCCTTCAATTTCCTCTTAATCTCAATTGTGTGCTCCTTATCACGTCGAGACCTAGATGTTTCAGCTATATAATTTGCAATTTGATTAGCTGATATTTGAGAGCTTGGCCTATTTTGTCTTGTTGAACCTCCTAAATTACGTAGAAGGGTGGGTCCAGGCCTTCCTACTAGATCGATGGAAGTCTGCGTTTTCCACTGTTTCAATCCAGCGGTCTCTTCTAGCAGTGTCTAGACTATGGAGGAGGTTATCTGCAACTTCTTGATCTCCGTTCTCTTTGAATTCCTCGTATAGATGTTCACTGTGTTAGTTCCAGCCCGGTATGTATTCTTTTCTATACCCGCTAGGAATGTATTTATTCGCTGCTGAAATTACGGCCCCGATGAAACGATTATAGTTTTCTGGTTCAGGTGGTATAAAGCGGATACATTGGTCTAATTTTTGTGCATATTGGTCCCAATTAGATTTCTTAAAGTTCCATCTAGGACGAGGTGTGGATCTGACCACAGGGATTGATACACCCACATTCAGGATCACTGGCCTATGTTGGCTGTGGGGAAAGTCACCGGCAACTTTTCTTTCGACTGGCAACGGAACGCCGTTATGGTTACTAGTAACAAAGCAGAGGTCTGGATCTTTTATCTGAAAAAAGTAAGAGACATAGGGGTGAGCCACTTTTGAGACGCACCCGGTATATCACTGTAATCACAAAACTTCAATCTATTTCCGTATTGTAACGGAATTTTAAATTGTGTCTTTATTTTCGAGAAAATTTAGTCCAAACATAAGAAATATTTTGTTGATGTTTTTCCTTCTTCATTAGTGTAAAAATACCTAGCCCAATATTTTACATAAAACGTTAAATGCCGAACGCTTATTTTGTTACATTTTCGAACTAGCGAAATGGACTCTTAACTTGAACTCCCAGAACTTGATCACGTTGCTTGAGACGAAGATCCATAATCAAGTAATTTTCGCCGAACGAAGTAATCCATAATCAAGTAATTTCGAAGAACGAAACCAAGATGAATGGTTCTAAAGAATAGAAACACATTCCCGAAAATCACTTTTTTTTCTCATCTTAAGGAGGGAGGAGTAACATACATGAAAATAGCTGCCTAGACTTAGAAATGCGCTTATTAAATGCTCTCAATCATATAAAACTGTAAGGTCTCGTAAGAGCACCGTTTCGCTATTTGTATTTGCCAGTATTACGTTGTATTTTAACAAAGTATGTTTTTTAAACAGCATTCGTCGTTCAACTTATTTAATTCGCTGCTTCAGTCACATAATGATGACTGAGCGACTGAAAGAGAAGCCTTAACAAGAAGCCTACTTTAAATTCCAAACATAATGTGCTATACCGTTTTTTACATTACACAACCCAGCCACACCGTGGAAACTAAAAATTTAAGTAATCTGAATTGAAATGTGTAGGAAATAACAGAAATAACCATGTCAGAGGTTTGATTTCTAATTAACCCGTTTATTTTAGTTAGTGGCTAATCGGTAGTGCTGAAAATATTTTAGCTAAATGATCTCTATCTCGGTCCCAAATAACCTTAATATTAATTAAAATCTTGATCAAAAAAGATCGCCGTTATTTTATATGTAAATTATATGATGAGTGATATGAATCCTCATTTCCAAGTATGTTTAAATAAAATGTAAAAAGTATCACTAATTAGTCTTATAAATCATATTTCCATAGTTTAGTAAAAGGACTTTTATACCTAGAATAAAATAATTTTGATTTACGCACAGAATATGCTTGTTCTATTTTCCGCAATATTTTATTAAATCTGTTTTTTATAAATGCAAATTAATAAATAAACATAAGATCTAATGAACTAAATATTGATTACTTGATCCTTCAACAGCTTTTCTTTCTTGCAATTGCCTTTCAAACCTTTGCTTATTTCGTTCATATACGCCTCGTAATTCAGCACCTTTTTCTGCAGAGAGGGCCCTACCTCTGTCTTGAGTTATAATGCCCACTGGATAGTCGAAAGCATAAAAGAATCCTAAAGGTGGACCTGTAGATTCTTCGTTATCTTGAGGAACGTATTTACCTTCATTGTCATATGCATGAGCACTATTTTCAACTTTGTGCTGATTGGTAGATTCTTGGCTAAATTGAGGACCTATAATAAATAGTGATTCAGCAGAATTTTCGAAATAATATATTAACTTACTTTGAGTTTTATCCTCTCTTTGACTTTTTATTGATAAGGGTCCACTAGCATACTGACCATCTTCATTATAAGGGCTTCTGTATATTAAAAAATATATGAAATCACACATTAATTAAAAAATACTTAACTTACTTCACAGGATGGCTATTTCTTTCAGCTTCCTCATGCCAGCGTTTTAAAAACGCTTCCTTGGCAATTTTGACTTCAGGAGAATCATCAACTTGTGCTGGTAAAATTTGTGGTACGTTATCAACTTGATGAAAACCGTTACCGTTATCCCAATATTCTACCTAAAAATAATTGAAATGAAATAGAATATGAACATGTTCGAATACATGTCTGTAGAAAACGATGATCATAGTGATTTGGCTATTGGTTTGGGCAAAACAATAAAACACTGCTTCAAATTTAAATACCTTGGACTAACTCTTTCCTCAGATGGCAAAATTAATGAGGTTAAATCCAATAAAATTGGACAGGGAAAAAATTATTAGGGAATTAAACTCTCTTCTTTGGAGCGATAGAATATCAAGAAGAACGAAACAGATGATGTACAACTCTATTTTTGAATCTGTTTGTACCTACGGATCCGCGACGTGGGAACTCACAAGAAGAAACAAAGATAGACTGCTTGCACTTGAAATGGACTATTGAAGGCGTAAGAACTCTCTCATCTCGCCTAGAACACGTAAGAAATGTTTGTATAAGAGAGGAGATGCAAGTAAATGGTACTTGGATACTTGGATACTACATCTTGGATACCATAGAATTCAAGCGATTGCTATGGCTTGGCCACCTCCAAAGAATGGAAGATTTAAGAATACCCAAGAGAGTATGGGACTGGATCCCAGTAGAGAGGAGAAAACGAGGAAGACCAGCAAGAACATGGCAGGATGATGTACAGGAAGCCATGCTCGAAAGACACCTGAGAAATGGCGACTGGTGAGACCGGAATTTATGGAAGTCGAGAAGTGGGACTAGTCGTAGAAACATCCGCCTGTATGTATATATATTGTCGCCTAATTACTTAAATATAGGCCAACTTGGGTTTACATCAAATTGGGAAAAATCATGTAAAATATAACTCCAGTAAACCAATTTAATGTAGATCCAAGGGAATCTTTCACGTATGTTCTTATAGTAAACATTGTTAATTAAAACAATTAAAGTCAGGTCGATGTAGCGTGATGTTTCAAGGCAAGCTCGTACTAAACATCGGTGCTGGAAATATACAAAGAAAACTTTTGAGCACGCACCCGCCGATGATTGGGACGAGCGGACAAATATAAAAGGGTATGCTGAAGACAGGGAAGAGGGGAGTTAGTTGGTTAGTCCGTTGCAGTCCAATGTTCAGTCACTTGGCCAGTCAGTTGGCTAGTCAGAACCAGTAGAAGACAGCGAAGAATGAAGATATTCCTGTAAGTACCTTCTTTGAGTATACCATATATTGAGTCTTGACAATATAAATAGAATATGAGCTCTACTTGATTTTTATGGACTAACCTTAATTTCCTGACCTGCTCCATTGACGTAGTTATATGAACCCTTTAAATCTCCGCTGGGTTTCTTTTGTTCATTTTTTGCAATATCAGGAACTTGGTAACCATATAAATATCCTCCTAGTCCATCTTGTCCATGATACTGCTTTGCTAAATATATGTCCTCCAATACATTGTGAGATTCTTGTCCTAAACATTTAAAAGATTTAATAATATAAAAAACCATATGAAAAATATATTTTCTTACCTAGATATCGTACAGCTGGAACATCAGAGTCAATTTTAGGGGCGTAATTTAACGTCTGGTCTTGTTTATCGATAAGATTCTGAGCATCATTAGGTTCTAAATCTACTAAACGTATTTCTTCTGTATTGTACTTTTGTAAAAGTTGAAGGATACATATCTGGAATGAAAAAAATAGAAAATATAAATGACACTTGCATAACTAAGTCGTCGCATCAGTATCTAAATCGTATATAAAAATTGCTAACTTCACTCGTAATATAATTTAAAATTCTCGTGTCACAGTTTGTACTCACACCATACTCCTCCGAAACGGCTTAACCGATTTTGATGAAATTTTATATGCATATTCAGTAGAGCTGAGACTAGGTTGTTATTTATTTTTTATTTTTGGTGGCGCAAGGGGTATTGAAGAGATACATATAGCCTAGCTTATCCAAAAGTCAACCTCACCTTCACGTGGTGCACTCTGTTTACACAAACGAGACTCTAACGTCCGAGTATACGCGGTATGACTTTATACAATCCTCAGACCTACCATCTTTCTGGGGAAGAGTATTAAACTACACCTAGCCGGCCGAGAACGTAGCACAAGGGAGCTATCGTCGCGGTCCTTACTGTACCATAGCCATCCCGTGCTACAGTTGCAGCCAAAACTGTGCGGAAGTGTAACAGCCACAGTTAAACATTTTTCACGCAGCTAACACACATCAATGATTGAATATTCGAATGGAACAAAATCATCATCTGGAGGTAAAATATCCCCTCAATCAGATCTCCGGGAGGGGATACCTACTCGAGCGTATCATCGGAGAAACAAAAAACATCAATATTTCACGTTTGCGGCGTGAAACGTCCGCACTCTACTGGACAAGATAAATTCAAATCGACCAGAGAGAAGAATAGCACTGGTATGACAGGAACTCCACCGATTAAATATAGATGTTGCCGCTCTTAGCAAAACCCACTTTGCGGATGAAGATAGTCTCACTGAGGAGCATTACACCTTCTTTTGGAAGGGTCACCCCGCAACACAGGAGAATTCATGGCGTAGGCATCGCAATCAAAAACGAAATCGCCACCAAATTAACAGAGGTACCTATTGGTGTCTCCGAACGTCTTATGACCCTAAGGTACCCCATATTAAACAAAACTTATTATCTGACAAATGAATCTAAAACAGCGGAAGGAATTCGGACAAAAAAAAGTCGATGTTGTCACGTTTAATTATAGAAAAGCAAAGTTGCTCGATATTACCTATAAATTGTAAAATATATTTTAGTTCATTTCAGCATACATAATTATATATATGCTAATATGTTGACGTAGTTCTTATTGTAATAATGTATATTTATCTAATTAACAGTTTTCGTTCATTCTGACTATTATAAAAGGTAAAGTATTTCCTTAAGATAATGTCCGCTTAGGGTAAGCTGGCAACGCTGACAAAATTCATCATGGCATCCCGGATTCAACCAGTCTGATTGGTCGAGATTGTCGCACGTCTTGCCGCCGTTACCCACAACTTTATGCCCCTCTCTAGGAATAGTAGAAACAGTCACTACTATTGAAAAATCCAGTGGCGGGGTTATTGTATTGTGTTTTATATCTTTAACTTGATTTGTGTTTATTATAATTAGTACACGCGTTTTAACAAATATTACTATATTTGGCAAATGACTAAACAAAATGTAGGTACATTTAAAGTAAAATAATATTATAAACTTTACTGGAAAATATTATAAAAATTCCTGATATATTTTTATGAAACACCACACGCTCGTGGATATTTTATAAATGAAATCGGTCATGATTTTAGAAAATTGCGATCCCCTCACCGTTGCCCCGTTGTTTCAGATCCGTTTGTCAGACTGTACGTCAACATCATTAGTGCCTACGCTCACACCCTAGACGCTAAAATTGATTATAACGATAATTTACCAAGCTCTACAAAATGCTCTCCAACGAATTCCAAAGCACGAACGAAATCATCTTACGTACCTGGAAACATCCCAGATCAGGCCACTGGCATCAATTGGACCACGTAATCGTTCGAAGTTCGACGCATCTAAAAGATGTCAGACTCACAAAAGAATAGATGAATAGATGCCGAATGCGGCATTGGACCACCGACTTTTAGTTTCAAAAATGAAAACCCAGTTAAAACCCAAACATCCACACTGTAAAAAGCAAAACAACATGACCAGATTGAACGTACGGGGTCTAGAGAACAACAATACCGCCGACGCCCTCTGTGAAGCCACCAAATAATCACTTCCACCGATAATTTCAATCTCTTTCTTGGAAGCTGAACAAGGCTGAACACAATTAAGGGATGCGATTCATAAAACCAGCGAAGCAGTACTGGGAAAGTCGAACAAAAAGAAACAACCAGATTGGTTTAACGAATATCAACCGCATATACAGGCTTTGTTGGAACAAAAGCATAGAGCACACCTTGTAGTCACTGCAAATCGACACAATCCAAGACTGGTAGACAACTTTAAAGCAGGCAACAACAAGCTTCGAAGAGAATTGCGCCAACTAAAAGATAACTGGTAGTCACAAAAAGCGAATCAGATTCAAGAATATGTCACGCATCACGTTTCATCAAATTTTTCGAAGCTGTAAAAGAATTATACGGTCCAACCAAGAAGGTAAGCTGCCCAATCATGGAACAATATGGCGAACTTCTAAAAGAGGAAGAACAAATCAGAAATCGCTGGAAAGAGCATTACAGCCATATCCTTAACCAAGAAAACAACCCCAATATGGAAGCACTACACACAATACCTCAGTATAACAGTCTCAATGTATTAGACATCCCAATAACAGAACAGGAAATAAAGGCCTCCATAAAACAGCTTAAAAACAACAAATCAGCTGGCTGTGACGAGATTCCGGCGGAAATCTATAAATATCCAAGTAAAGAACTTATTGGTCATCTTAAGGCTCTCTTCGATGTCATATGGAAAAACTTTTGCAACGCGAATATAGTGAATATATTTAAGAACAAAGGAAGTGCATCAGACTGCGGAAATTACCTGGGAATTTCACTATTGGCTATCGGAGGAAAAATTCTTGCAAAAATTATGTCAAACCACCTGCACCCATATATAGAAAAAAATCCTTCCAAAATCGCAAACGGGTTTTCTCACCAATTGCAGCACCGTCAATTCCATATTTTTCATCCGCCGACTACAGGAAAAAGTAAAAGAGCAGCAGTCTAAACTTTATGCTGCATTCATAGATCTAACAAAAGCCTTCAACTCTCTGAACACAGATGCACTTTGGGTAATTATAAAAAAGTTCCGAGTACCCAACAAATTTCTTACATTGTGTACAAGCCTCCATAACAACAAGTTAACAACCCATCGTGGATCACTGACGATCCCTTCCTAACAAATACAGGAGTTAGTCAGGGATGTGTTTTAGCGCTTCTCCTATTCAACATATTCATGGCAGCACTCTCCATTATAGTGGACAGCAAACTGCAGGAGAGAAGATTGGGCATTAAATACAGATACGACGGCGGTCTGTTCAACATAAAAAGACTCAGCGCAAAAACACGTACAAAATTCATCACAGAACATGTTGGACACATATACCTGGGCATACGAAGCTTTGGGCCTTAAGCTCAACATCGATAAAACCAAAATCATGTGCACTTCCCCGGAAGATCACAACAATGCTATAAAAATCGGAGAGGAGCTATTGGAATATGTAGCCGAATTTAATTACCTCGGCAGTTTGATTTCGGAAAAGGTCAATATGGACTCTGAAATTCAGCACAGGATTAGCAGCGCATCAAGAGAATTTTGGAAATTAAAAGACAGAGTTTTTTACAATCATGACTTGAGTACAAAAGAGAAACTTGCAGTATACCGAGCAATTATAATACCCACCATGTTATATGGGAGCGAAACCTGGGCAACGTACCGCCGGCAACATGCATTAAACAAGTTGCAACAGAACCTTAGACAACTCTTAAGAATCCGGTGGTTCTATCATGTCTCAAAAGTATCGGTCCTCGAAAAAGCTAACTGCGAGAGTATTGGAGTCACGGCCTGGTCACGTATGCAGAATGCAAGAAAACCGCATACCAAAATCTCTGCTTTACGGTGAGCTTGCAGACGGTAAGAGGAGGCCGGGTGGACAACTGAAAAGGTACAAGGACATTTTCCACGAAAACTTAAAGTTGATTAAGATGTAGAATGAGTGGGAAGAAGCAGCTCACGATAGAACTCAATGGAGAAGAATTGTAAACTCACTTAACAGCGATAACCAAAAAGTAAAGAAGCAACAAAGCAATGAGATTTTTGAATGTCCGGAGTACGGTAGGCAGATAACATCACATATCGGGCTTTTCAGTCACAGAAAAACTCATAAAAGAAAAAGCCTTGCGTGACCTTCTTCTGATGCGTGTCGAATACTCGTCAGCTAGTAATGGCAGTATGTAGTATGTATTTATTTTTTATACCCCTAACTGATAAGGGTGGTCCACCCCATTTTCTTATTTTTTGGACAATTGTTTTTTTATTTAAACTGGCTCATTTAAGCTAACATAAATTGTTTTGTCAGTTAAATTTCAGTTTCAGAATCTCAGATTGGGGGAATCCTACTTGAGAATATGATCCCATCCCATCAAAAACATTGAATGTAAAAAAATGTCAAGTCTCGCAACACAATTTTTCCATTATAAAATGTTGTGAGATCTCATGTAAAACCAAGTCAGTTTATTTTATTTAGTCTCTCTTTAAGCACCTATTCAACAATTTTGTTATAAATTATTAGTATCAATATTAGTCATCTTTATTTCTGTAATAATTATAATGAATTATAAAGTAGAATGTAGAATCTTTAGGAGGGGTGTTAATCACCGCGACCTTACCGCGTGTTTCACTTTTTTTAGTTATAACGAGTTATAACTCATCATAGAGTCTCATGGCTTTAACAAAAGCCATCAGTGTCTGAGACGGCTCCACAGAGGCCACCTTTGAATTATATATAATATCTTGAATAATTATAATGACTTGAAATAGTAGAATAATCTACTATTTCGATTACTAAGTAAATCTAAACAGTGCACTTAAGAATAAAGTTTTTTAGTTAGTATAGAATACTATATCTTACGATTGCCAAGTCATTATAATTATTATA